TGTAGGGAACATGTTCCAATCAACAGAGCCACCCAGCCAGGGTTGTAATGTATTTTAGTAAAGTAAACAATTAACTGGGGTAAATGAAGAACGATTGTCTTACATTCATTAAAAACTATAATGACAGAAAGTTATACATATCTTACTTTCTAAACTAAGAATGAAACCAATAGAACTACTGCTGAAACAGCTAATTCAATCTTGAGAATAACCCACACACCTAAAAATATTACTATGACAGCTATGTAACTCTTCCACCCTCAGTAATTTAGCCTCAAAAGCTTGAGAGTTCACTGACGAATATGGTAGTGATAAGAAGAATGCCAACTCATATAGTAAACACCAACAGCCAGTTAAACAGTAAATATTAACATAAATTTTAGAGCATGAAACCTATAAAGAAAAGTTATAAAAAATGTATAGCATTCCTTACCTGGGTGTTCTGGAAGTAATGCCTCCAGAGAGGCCTTATTTTATCTTGACCACCAACATCCCATACTGTGAAACAAATGTTCTTATATTCTACTGTTTCCACATTAAAACCTACAAAGAGAAAAACCAAAAAGACTGTTGTGCACAATGTCAGTAAGAAAATAAACCCCTTTATTGTGGAATTATCTCAGAATTGCTTTTTTAAAGTCCCACTAAATAATCAACAAACTTAAAAATCAAGGAGTTATGATGAATGCATGTCATTGTACATCTGTTTAGACAGAATGTACACCAAAAGTGAACCCAAAGGTAAACTATGGACCTTGGGTGATTATGACGTGAAAATGTAGGTTCATCAACTGTAACAAATGTATCACTCCAGTGCAGTGGTTCTCAACCTTCTGGCCCTTTAAATACAGTTCCTCATGTTGTGACCCAACCATAAAATTATTTTTGTTGCTACTTCATAACTGTAATGTTGCTACTGTAATGAATCGTAATGTAAATATCTGATATGCAGGATGGTCTTAGGCGACCCCTGTGAAAGGGTCATTCGACCGCCAAAGGGGTAGCGACCCACAGGTTGAGAACCGCTGCTCTAGTGAGTGATGCTGACTATGGGGGAAGGGATATTTTGGGATACCTCCCAATTTTTCTGTGAAATAAAACTGCTCTAAAATAAAGTCTTTAAATATAAGGCAGTTTCAAAATTAAGCTGTATTCTATTTCACTTTATAATAATCACCTGTAAACTTTCTTACCAATGGTAGGAATTGTGGTGACTATCTCCCCTAACTTCAGTTTATACAGAATGGTCGTCTTGCCAGCAGCATCCAATCCAACTAGAAAAGACATCACAGGTTTTAAATCTAGACCAAAAGCACACACTAAGAAATTATTTTGCAACAAATATATAGTTTGAAAGCTAAAGTTGACTGGTCAAGGCACAAATGAGTTAGAAATAAAATCACCTCATTTCTGATTTCACTTTTTCTTTCTAGACCTAAAGAGATAGCATGTAGTAATGAAAAGAAAATAGTATCTGGCTGATTCAGGCAGTAATTTCTAGATTTGCTTTGCCATAAACTAGTCAAGTGCCTTTAAACAAGTCACTTTAGGAAACTAAAGCCAGAGAAATTAGCTATAAAATAAGGACCCTGGATCAGATAATTTATGATCTCCTCCAAATCATCTCTATTATTTCTGTGACCTAATACCATTTTAAAAAACACAAATTAGAATTGAATCAGAACACATAAGAACAAGTGAATAAAGAACTTTAAGATTAGTAAACTCAATACTATGTCCTAATCTCTTTAAATGACTTCCAAAGGAAGATAAGGCCAATTTTACTACTACTTACATTCATTTCAACGTCAAATGTGCAGAAATGAGAATAAAAGACTGGTTAATAAGAGTTGTAAAAATGACCCTATCATATTCATCTCCAACATATATCTAAATTCTTAAAATGCTTCCTTGAAGCATAGACAAGTGTGGAAGAATGTGGTTTCTGAAAAAAATTCCTATTAAAACAAGAAGTCATAACACTTTATTACAGTGATAGTGAAGAACAAATTAAATGCTTATTTTAAGTATGAATCTCTCAAAACCTGAATATTCTACATTGTTTGCTAAAGTCTTCATAAATGGAAGGAAGGTCAGTATCTAATAATCTCACTGAATGGACCATTGCTGTAAGGATATCACATTTGGCCACTTGAATTTCCACATTACCACAGATTTTGAAATTCAACTGAGTGTTGATTTAAGCAAAGATGTGTTTTAAAAATTTAAATCAAAGCAAGACTTGGCACATGAAACCAATTCTATTAAGTTTTAAAAGAAAACCAGAAATCACCTTACTTATCTAATCTACATTCCCGTGCAAGTAAGTTTAATTTTGATCCGTTACTTCAAAAACAGAACTAAAGGCTATAGGTAACTCATACTCCTACCCTTTCTGCTTTGTTCCCTATAAAGCAGGGGTGGAGAACGTCCGTATAAGGCCCTCAAAGTCATTTGGTCTGGCCCTGCCAAGGCATTAGGGATGAATTAATTTAGCAGAAGTTGATAATTTTGTATGGCCCGTGAATAATGTTATAAATATCTAAATGGCCCTTGGTAGAAAAAAGGGTAGCTTTAAGATTTTTCTGGAAACTCTGACATCTTAAATCTTCTTATTCCTATGTCCTCTAATAAAACTTTGGTCTCTACTTCTTCATACTGGGATTCAGGTTTACTCTTTCCAAAACACTGACACTTACTAGACAGCGTGAGCAGCCCACTCTCAGCCCTCACTCATGGACATAAGAAAAATCAATTGTTACCAGGAAGCATTTTGTTTTTTGTGTATGGAACATTACCAAAAAATCGGAAAAACAAAACAAAAAAACAAACAAACAAAACCACACAGATCTTCAGCAACAATACAGAAAATGGCAACAACATATAATCTTTTCATTGTTGGAAAAAAGCTGTCTCTTGAGAGCATAAATGCCACTCGTGATTCTGGTCAAATTTTAAAATAAAGCAAAAGTCCCCTTTAACTAAGTCCAAATACGATTAGGTACAAGTTAGAAGCATTGAAACTGAGATGGTGATTAGGAAAAATACTTGAGTTACAGTTTGAGAACTATGACACATGCCACTCCTCATTGGGGTCCAAATGAACCTCATACTGCCATTTAAAAACAATGTCAATTCAAAAATACTGACAAGGAACGGGAGAAAACAGAATTACTTTAAGTTACAGTAATCTAATTTTTATTTTAATAAAAGCTTTATACCTGCCTGTATGCATAATTACTATTCTACTTTCATATTGTTAAATTTTTTTGGTAACACAATAAACACGTTTTACTTTCATTAAAAAAGAACAGCCTTAGCCAGTTTGGCTCAGTGGATAGAGTGGACTGAAGGGTCTTAGGTTCGATTTCGGTTGAGGGAATGTATCTTGGTTGTGGGCTCGATCCCCAATAGGAGGCGAGCAGGAGGTAGCTGATCCATGTTTCCCTCTCACTGAGGTTTCTCTATATCCCTCTCCTTTCCTCTCTGTAAAAACCAATAAAATATGAATATATTTAAAAAGGAGTTTACAAAATAGTGCAACCATAAGGTTTTTTAAGCAACCACGTTATCTTTAAAATAAAAACTATTAAGACAATATTTAAATGACTTGCAGCCACACATGAAGATATCATTTGAGTTGAACCCAACATGATAGTGCTATATATATGTGTGTGTATATATATATATATATATATATATATATGCAAACCAAAAGTTTCTTAAAAAGATATTTCTATTGTAAGATTTAAGATGCACACATTAA